ACTCCACTAAGAAGATATATCCCAACAATTATTATATGTTTAATGATGAAATTAATTATTTAGCGATGAATTACTATCATTTTTTGAACAAAATTTGTCTGAAAAAGTGAACATCTTTTGCATCAAATTGTTTTTTCTTAAAGTGTATTTATTAACCACATTTTTTAAATTTTGATGCTAGAAGTCTGTTTTTTGAGTTTTTGAAAAGATTTTTTAATGACAATCCTTGTGATAACAAAAATCAGTCCCTAAATGTTTCTCCCTTCATTTTGGAGACAAAAATTTGAATTTTAAAACTCTTTCTCCCTTCTCTCTATAAATGTAGAGAAATATCAATTACTTCTATTATTTCATTTCTACATCACATTTAATTAATCATTTTTTTTTGTCACCAAGTATTCCAAATGAAGTTTTAGGGATTGGTTTACTTTTAGATTTGCTACTAACAAAACTAATGTGCACCTAGCCCCCTACCCGTAATCTATATAAAGTAAAATTTAGATTAAGCCCCAAAGCATTAATCTAAATTTTTTATTTTAAACGTTAAAAATACGCATTATTAGTTCAAATTTATGTTGACAGGTACATTAACCTAGCAAAAAACTTGTGCCAACATGCTTGCGTATTATTTTTTTTTTTTTTGTAAATGGATTGAAGATTAATTATAAATATGAAAAATATTACATTAATTTGGACAATTAAAGTTCAACAGTAGACAAAGCCATATTGTATCAAGGAAAAACGCCAACTAAGTTGTGATACATGCACTAGCTTGAAAATTTTCGAAGTTCTAACGTTTGTGCTATGAAAAACTTTTGAGAGTCTCAAAAAGGTTTTTTCAATTTGATCAACAATAATGGTATGATCTGTTAAGTATCAATTTTTAATTTATCACAAATCTAGTCATATAAAACATAACTGTCTTGTCACATCATTATGGATGAATTATAATATTTAAATTGTGATTTTCCAATATTTCTATTATAAAATTTAGTAGTAAATGGGATTCAAATTCAAATATTACCATCTAGACAACAGAAAATACTCTTGTTTAGGAGATTCTATAAGTCTATAATTTCAATATTCTACGTGGAATTTAATGTGTTTTTAAGCTATGAAATTCTACAATACACACCCTTTGAAAGTATTATTTTAGTTATATATCCCTAGTTATGTCATTTTCCACTTTAGATGTGATCAATTTTCTTCTTTAGTTATGACATTATTTTAGTTATGACTCATGAGATCTTTAATTATGCCTCATGTAGTGTTTGATTATAATATATATTTTTTAAGATAAAACTCAAAAAATATGAAATTATGTAATTTTTTTCTTTACTTATAAATATTTTGAAGTTGTGTATTACAGTATTTCTCTTTTAAGTCTGAACAACTTTTCACCATCTAAAACAAAAAAGTCTGAACAACTTTCTTCAACACACCACATTTTCCTACTAAAAGTGAAGGAATATATAATTGTACATTTCAACTGAATTTAGGCCGTGTAATTGACGAAATTAAGAATTTAATAATTTTGTTAAATTGTGCTATGGTGCGGGAGAAATGTTTATGGCATGACAATATCGTTTTTATTCTTTTTTTGGGATAAAATTTTATTATTATATTTAAAAAAAATCTTTAATGATCTACTTTTAAAATGTAAGTGTATTTTTAAAATGTAAGTGCATTTTACGGTCATTTTAAATTTATCATACTCTATCAATTGACAAACCAAATTTTCCTAATACGAGAATATTTTTCCCAATGTACTTACTGAAACAAATATAAAAATTTAAATATTTTATTGCAATTTTTTTGCCACATCGCCTAAAAAGTAAAGAGAGAGATAGAAGATGAGCGGAAGAGAGGAAGAGAGAAAAAAAAAGATAAGATTGTTTTATCAATTGACAAACTATGGTAGGATGAATTATAATTACGAATTTCGTTGATAATGTAATTATACTTGATCGAAAGTATATTATTAAAATGTAAAAAAACTAAAGAGTGCTAAAATATGTTTGACATGTATTTTTTTTTTAAAAAAAAGGTTAATTACAAAAAAAAAAAAAAATCCCAAGGTTTCACGCGTTCACTTTGAACACCAACGTTTTAATTTTGACAAATTAAATCCTGGAGTTCCATCTTGCCCCATTTGTCCATCGTTGTCAGTGTAAGGTAATGGATGGGATTTAAAGTGAAAAATATTGGAGTTTAAAGTGAAAAACATATGAAATGTTGGGGTTTATCTTGTAATTAACTCTTTTTTGTTTTTAGTGATTTTAATTTAAAACAAATGGTTAATTACATACATGCATTTTTCACTTTAAACCCTAATGTTTTTCACTTTAAACCCCCTCCGTTACCTTTCATGGACGGAGGGGACAAATTGAAACACAAATGAAACTCTATGGTTTAATTTGTCAAAATTGAAACCTTAGGATTTTAAGTGAAAAACGTGTGAAACCTTGGGATTTTTCTTGTAATTAATCCCTAAAAAAAAAAAAGTTCAAAAATCTTTGTACCAGTGTGAAAAGACCAAACAATTCTTGCGAGTGGGTGAATAGATATTTACACATTTGGAAGGGTAAAATGAAAAATTTAAGTAACAGACAAAAATATTTGCATTTCCCATACAATTAAAAAATTCATTCATAAATACATTAACTTTGTGGGTGTTTGGAAAGTGAGTTTTTTTGTAGGTTTTTTTAGTTGTAGGATATTATTGGAGAATTTTTTTTTTTGTGTTTGGGAAGATAGTTGGGTTTTTTTGTGGTTAGATGTGATGTTTGCGAGATAAAAAATGAAATGATTATGGGGTTTGATGTGATATTTTGTTTATATTTATTTTTTTTGGTTTTGTAACCAATTTGTCTTTTAGTGAAAAAAAAAAAAAAACCAAAAAATAAACTTCCCAAACAGCACCTTTGTTTATCTCTTAAAAATCCAAAAAGTCACTTAAAAAACTAATTGGAAGCACTCTTTTTGTTAAAAAGTTAAAACTTACTTAATATTATTTATTTTTTTGTTTTCTTCAATTATTTTTAATTAATTTAAAAATAAATTTATCAATCATTGTTTATTCCTGTGCATAGAATGGACAATATGCTAGTATTTGAATATGGAAAAATAACTACTATAATTTCTTCCAAAACCTCAAAAATATTGAGCAACCCCTATTTACAGGAGGTCACAGGTCAACTCCCACAGCCTCACCATTATGAAAATGTTATTTGTCCTGCCCAAGACATCCTACGAAACTTCTTGGAAGTTCAATCCCAACCATTGATCCAAATTAAAAGCTACATTAATTGATGGATTATGCATGTTGGCTTGAGTTGTTACTAGCAATTAATCAATAACAACTTAAAGCTCAATCAATTCTACCTTTTTTTTGAACGCACAATCAATTCTATTAGTGCTATATTTGGTAGGGGCCAATTGTACTATATCAATGTCAAAAACACAAAAACTAAATATATAATAGAATATAGATATCTCACCAGGGGTGTGGGGAATGCAGAGGGAGACAACCGCACTCCCAAAAATTTAAAAAATATCATATATTATGTTAGAAAATTTAAAATAATTAAATAATAAGCATTTATACCTCTAAATAAATTTTCACACTCCCATATTGATAGCCCTATATTCGTCCTTGAATATAAGAGGTCCACATGATGTGAGACATACTTTTTATGAGACATGTGTATGTCATTTTTTGTTTAATCCTCAACATACTTAGGCTGATTCATCTTGCGACTATGGCTTTCCATATTGATCAATAAAAATTCTACAAGAGTCCCATAACAGTACAAATTATTGCATTAAATGAGTTGAAAAGCGAAAACAATAAAACCTTACTAGCAAAGGCACGTGATGATTTTTTTTTTCTCGAGTAATATTAGGGATTATGAAAAAAATATTATGAAATATTTTATGAATATTTTTTATTATTTGATTAGTTTGTAGTGTTTTATTGTATGGATAATCTAAGGATGAAAAATTTTCATGAAACATTTCATGATATTTTTTTTTATGATTCCTAACAATACTTTTTTTTTTTTTTTCTTTTCCACCGGCCAAATACTTACACTTATCATATGATTTTCTCTATTTAAAATTATATAAATACAATCCTTGATATTTGCTTAAAATATAAATTGCACCCTATGGTTCTAAAAATTACAAACACCCCATTGTTAGAAATTTTTTGTTTAACAAAATAACAGAAAAAATAAAATTTCTAACTACTCATTTATATAACAATAAAATTACTTGAATTGTTAATTAAAATATATTGATGACATTATTAGAAAATATTAATTGACTTGGTGATTTATTAATAAAATGAGTCATTTGTCATACGATTCGAAATTTGGTAGGACAAGATGTAATTTCTAAAATCACATAGGGCAATTTGTATTTCAAATAAACTTCAAAGGGTGTGTTTTATAAGGGATTTGGCTTGTATGTAGTTAAAAGTTCAATTGGGCCACACAGTTACAATTTCTTACTGGTAAGAGTTTATGAAATGCCTTGGCCCATTATTTTAACTCTTGATTTAGTTAAATCTTTTCATATACTCTTATCAGTAAGAGATTTTAATTGTCTGGTCCAGTTGAAATTTCAACTCAAGAGAAATTCCTTTTTATAGGATCATAGAACATAGATTATCAAAGTCAAATGGAACCACTGACCATGAAATGTGAAACTAATGGGAAAGGGATTTGAAAAAGATAAAAAGGGGGAGGGGTGGGGGTGCGGTTACTAGTTGAAGGAAATTGTGTTTAAATTATAACTGCTCAGTATTTTAGATGGATATGAAAATGTGTAACTATGAATCAATTTACTTGCCTATTGCTTATCATCTATCTGCACATGGCCCCGATTACAAAAGCTAATTAATACATTCATTGTATAGCAGTTCCTAACCCCACTTGGGGGAGGGTACTATTTTTTAAGAGTCACTTACCAAAATGTGTTTTGAACAAACTTTGCAGGTTGTTTTCCCAGTCTTGGAGAATTTGAAAATTACTAAAGTGCCTAACATAACAGAGATATGGGACAAGCAATTACTTAGAGTCCCAGAAAATGAATCAAAATCCTTCTGCCAACTGAAAGAGATGGAGGTTAATAATTGTGAGAAAATGGTGAATGTTGCTTGGTCCAATATGCTCCCACAACTGCAGAATCTGGAAAAACTCAAGTTATATGGTTGTCCAAATATGGAAGTGATAGTCTGGGAACAAGAAAATGAGGAAGGACCCACCAATGATGATATTATTGTGTTCACTCAACTAACAACTCTCTATCTTCAAAATTTGACGAAACTTAAAAGTTTTCACAGTTGGTCTACAAGGTCTCAAACACAACCTTTGTTCAACCACCAGGTATGGTTTTCTAATTGATTTTATTATAGCATATCTAATGCACTCGGCATATGATGCCTTTTAGTTAAAATGCCTAATATAACTTACTTTTGTCAATTCCAACGAACTAGATATATGGTTAGACATTTTGTTTGAACTAAAATTCAGTAGTTGAATGTAGTTAGCCTTCAAATGCTAGGCACAATGTTCTTGACCTTTATGATTATTTCCCTTTATCTTTATTGATGATGTGGTATTTTAAAAATTAAATAGTGTTAGGATGAGTAGTTAAAATAAATAGTAGTGTTGGAGTTGAAATATAAAAAAGCAGATAGGAAAAATAAATATATATATATATATATGTTATTATAATTTTTGAATAGATAAATACCTAATAGTGTTGGAGATGCTCTTAACCATGACCATGGGGAAGCACACACAAAAATGAAAATGGCATTGTTATATAAGTCCAAAAATTAGACTCAATTTTCAAGCCCAATGATATGATAATCAATTAGGGTATCTAAGGTAATACTCTCTCTCTCATATTTTTTTAATCATCAACCAATCATTTCACGTACATATCATTGAGTTTAGAAAATAGGCCTAAAAGGTGGGCATGTATATCATTTTTCAAATGAAAATAAAATTAGAATTCCTATCAAACTACAAAGTTAACTTTGAAACTGAATTGAATATTTAAATTCCATCCAAATAGAAAATAAAATACGAAGGTAGTAAAATGAGTAGTTATGCTACAATATTTAAGGAAATTACAATATATGTTGAAAAAATATGTATGAATTCTAAATTAAATGTAATTTTTTTCTTTATAACATATGAATCATAATATGATTATATTCACCTAAATTATGCCCAAAATTGTAATTTTCCCAACCTTGACTTGGTGAGTTTTAAAAGTTTCTACAACTCACCTACAAGATTTGAAGCACAACCCTTATTTAACCGAGGTTTGATTTTGCTAATTTATTTTATTAACCTTAGCTAGGGGAAAACCTGGACACAAAAAAAAATTAAAATTCTTATTCAATTAGAATTTTAAATTTGAAGCTTGTTAGAAAAAAAAAATGTGCAAAATTTTTTTTTAAAAAAAAGTGACTTTGTAGCTTAGTTTGAATTTATCATCAATTTACTCGATTTTTTAGTGACTTTTTATCTTTTTAGAAGAAAAAAAATGTGTAAAAAAATAAAAAAAATGTTGTCCTTTTTTTAGTGACTTGAAGGGCGGATGAGTGAGAATAACTAAAAAAGCGATTGAATATGGCCAATCTGTGGCACCATTAATGAAAGAAAAGAAAAAATAAAAAAATGTACTTGATAAAAATAATAGAATTACTTTATTGAAAACCATTACAATATATTTAATATTTTTACTATTTTAGTAGGTTCACTTTGGGACTGATTTCCGTGATCCAAACTGTTCACTCTTTAAGATTTATTGAGTACAATATTCCTACAAAAAATTAAGATAATTGGATATCGGTAGATATATATTTGAATCAAATTTGTATAATAAACAAATGAATGGCTATTTTTGAAATTATATTTGTCGTTTATTTTTTTGAAACAAATATGATTCAAACAAATAATTACTGATATCTAATCATTTTAATTTTTTGCATGGATATTCTACATAATGAGTCTTAAAAAGTGACAATTTGTATCACCGAAATCGGTTTTAAAATAAACATACTGAGTGCCGTTTAGGGAACCAAAATAAAAAGCCATGTTTTTTATCTTTGGTCCAAAAACGCAAGTGGCAAAAACGTAACAAAATTGGTTTGGGAACTTATAAAAATGCAAGTGTGAAATTACAAATAAAAAAATAAATTTCTTATGTTGGGTAAGGGTATTTTGGTCATTTTAATTTGATTTGACACCATAAACAAATATTAAATTAAAAAGCTAAAAGCCAGCTTTTTGCCAACTTCCCAAATCACCTTCCAAAAAGCTAAAAAGCTTGGTAAAAAGTCAAAAATCAGCTTTTTACCAACTTCCCAAAACACCCCAAGCCCTCACCAAAATCTGTTTCAAAAAACCTACTAAGCCCAAACGCTCTCTCAAGTTAAGATGACAAAGATGACAACTTGAGAAGCCTAACCCATCTATCTATTTATCTATCTATACTATTACTACGTGGCATCTTTATCTAGCATAAAATAAAAATTATTATTCAAGACTTTCATTTCATTAAGAACACTCTTACCACTAAGATAATTTATAATACTAATTTCTTTATTATCTATTTTTATTCTTACTCACTTGTTAGTACAAAATAAACTAATAATAGGTCCTAATAGTTAAACTTAATTTCTATCAAATCCTATTAAAAATAAGTTTTGGTAAAATTGTCGCTAAAAATAATTTGTTTGTGACAATTTTTTTATATATGTCACTAAAAATTGACAATTAATAACTTTTTTTTGTCATGATTTTTATAAATTATCGTTAAAACTTACAATTAATCACTTTTTTTATGACAAATTTTTCCCATAGGACATATTAGACAATAAGTCTACTTATTAGAACTTACACGTAAGTACTCCTAAATTATAACTGCTCAATATTTTAGATGGATATAAAAATGTGTAAATATGAATCAATTTACTTGCCTATTGCTTATCATCGATCTACACATGGCCCCGATTACAAAAGTTAATTAATACATTCGTTGTATAGCTGTTGCTAACCCCACTTGGGGGAGGGTACCATTTTTTAAGAGTCACTTACCAAATTGTGTTTTGAACAAACTTTGCAGGTTGCTTTCCTAGTCTTGGAGAATTTGAAAATTACTAAAGTGCCCAACATAACAGAGATATGGGACAAGCAATTACTCACAGTCCTAGAAAATGAATCAAAATCCTTTTGCCAACTGAAAGAGATGGAGGTTAACAATTGTGAGAAAATGGTGAATGTTGTTTGGTCGAATATGCTCCCACAAGTGCAGAATTTGGAAAAACTCAATGTATATGGTTGTCCAAATATGGAAGTGATAGTCTGGGAACAAGAAAATGAAAAAGGACACACCAATGATGATATCATTGTGTTCACTCGACTAACAACTCTCTGTCTTCAAAATTTAACGAAACTTAAAAGTTTTTACAGTTGGCCTACAAAATCTGAAGCACAACCTTTGTTCAACCACCAGGTACGGTTTTCTAATTGATTATATTAGAGCATATCTCTAATGCACTCAACATATGATGCCTTTTTGTTAGAATGCGTAATATAACTTACTTTTGTCAATTCCAACGAACTAGGTATATAGTTAGGCATTTTGTCTCAACTAAAATTCAATAGTTAAATGTAGTTAGCCTTCAAATGCTAAGCATAATGTTCTTGACCTTTATGATTATTTCCCTTTATCTTTATTGATGATGTGTCATTTTTTAAATTAAATAGTGTTAGGATGAGTAGTTAAAAAAATTGGAGTAGAAATATAAAAAAGTAGATAGGAAAAATAAATATACATTTTATTATAATTTTTGAATAGATAAATACCTAATAGTGTTGGAGATGCTCTTAACCATGACCATGGGAAAGCACACACAAAAATGAAAAGGGCATTGTTATATAAGTCCAAAAATTAAATCCAATTTTCAAGTTTAATGATGTGACAATCAATTAGGGTATCTAAGGTAACACTCTCTCTCATATTTTTTCAATCATCAACCAATCAGAAAGTTTGGAAAATGGGTCTAAAAGTGATATTGTATATCATTTTTCAAATGAAAATAAAATTAGAATTCCTATCCAAATGCATAGTTGACTTTGAAACTGAATTGAATATTCAAATTCCATCCAAATAGAAAATAAAATAAGAAGGTAGTAAAATGAGTAGACATGCTACAATATTTAAGGAAATTACAATATATGTTGAAAAAATATGTATGAATTCTAAATTAGATGTAATTTTTTTCTTTATTACATATGAATCTTAATATGATTGTATTTACCTAAATTATGCCCAAAATTGTAATTTTACCAACCTTGACTTGGTGAGTGTTAAAAGTTTCTACAACTAACCTACAAGATTTGAAGCACAACCCTTATTCGAACCGCAGGTTTGATTTTGTTAATTTATTTTATTAACCTTAGCCATGGTAAAACGTGGACACAAAAAAAAAAAATTAAAATTCTTATTCAATTATAATTTTAAATTTGAAGCTTATTAGAAGGAAAAAAAATGTGTTAAAAAGTAATAAAAAAAATGTTACCTTTCAACTTTAGTTTGGATTTATCATCAATTTATTTATTTTTTTAGTGACTTTTTAGCTTTTTAGAAGAAAAAAAACGTGTAAAAAAGTAAAAAAAAAATGTTGACTCTTTTTTAGTGCCTCTTTGACTTTTTAGTTAAATATATCATTTTCCAAATAAAGACTAAATATACTGATTTTAGTAGTAAGAATAAGATTTGTAATCAAATATAATATTTTTACAAAGGGATATCGACTAAGTTAGGATAATAAAGGTAAATGTAACGCCCCCCAAAATTTACAATACCTCAACTCCAAACACTAGTATGATATGGTATGAATAAAATAAGAAGCTTCCATTATCAGAGTTAGTATCCAAAAGGCGACACATGCGATATACATTCATAAATCATTCATCTTGAATTTACAGCATGTGTTACAAGAAGTAATAAGGAATTAAGCTAAATAAATATTCTTATGTCCTAAAGACTTACATCTTTCCAAAACCGTGCTTGGTTACAACAAAATGAGTCATAAGCTCCAAATAAATAAAGCTATAGGCTTATAAAAGTAATTACAAAATAATCAGAAGTGAGCCTTCAGCTCTACAACCCTCCCAAGCTAAGTCCTTGGCGGAGGCATATCACCAGCACGTGAAAATGTTTTCCCAAGTAGGGTGAGCCAAAACTTAGTAGAAACAATCTAGCACAATATATGTGTGCCGCCCCCAAAATATGGTATAAATCAACCCAAGAGATTCACAAGCATAATATGAAATGTATTACTTTCATTCATTAGAGTTTATATTACAAAAGAGATTATATGCATTACACTTTCATAAATATTCATTCTGAAATTACAACATGTAACACTAATTAATAACAACAAAATAAATGTCTTACGGGCTTACATCTTTCCAAGAGATATCTTGGTTACAACAAAAGTGAGAGTCATAAGCTCTTTACAATTAAAGCCCTCGGCTTAAGAAGAAAACATATAAACATATAGGTAACAAAAGTAGAGCCTTCAGCCCTGTTCTTTCAAGCTATGCCCTTGGAGGTGGCATGTCACTAGTACCTGTAAATGATTTCTCAAGTAGGGTGAGCCAATGCCTAGTAGAGATATGCTAAAACAATATATGAAAATTAACAAAGATATCAGCATTAGATAAATGTTTAATACTTGCAAACCAACTTACACCTTGTCCATGACAAATCAATATTGACATCTATATCTTAGTCCGTTCCTATTCATTTATCCAAATCAATTCATTGATATAATTCATTGTTATCTAAACAATTCAAAACAAGACTACAACTCATTCATTAACACTTCAATAACAACCATTACTCAAACACTTCCATTTTCTTGCCATTTTATATCACATCCGAGGGACCCAGCACCCATATATATATATATATATATAAATAAGATTTCAGGACTTTCACCTTGGACACTCCGGCCAACTTAATTTTAAATGGAGTCCATCCCCTATCTCCTTCCAAACAATGATACATATACAATGTATGTAAAAACGTGTCATATACAATGACTACCAAAGTTCACACATTTAACAATTTAATCAAACCGTCATATTCAATGACATAGTCCATATGACTAGTTTCAATTTGCCAAGGCCTCATGCAATTTTTACAACAATCATAGCTATCCTTCATCGATAGCCCAAAACAGATATTTCTAAACAAATAAATAAATCTGTCAAACAGATAATTTGTCAAATTTTCCATAGGTGAGTGATTTATCAAATCTAACTACACCATTCATTTATACATCCTTCCAATTTCATATTTCTCGTATCAATTTCATTATTTATACAAATAATTTATTTAACTCACATTAGGGCAAATCTCCTCTTTTTTCAAATATCAATCCCAAGGCTCAATCTCACCATTTATTCTCATATAACATCATAATCAAGACCTCACATACATATATGGGGCCAAATATAGAAAACCCCTCTTTCCAAAATTCAAATCCAAACCCTAACTTCACCCAAATCTTCCCAAATTCCATAATTTATACAAAATGACAAACACCTAGGGTAAAACTCATATTAAAGAGTAGAATATTCCTATCTCAAATGTAGAAGCTCAAAGGAAGAATGGAAGAAGCCTCAAAGATGTCCAAACTCGATTTTGCTTGGATGAAATGGAAGCCCACAAGATGCTCTATCTTTTTAACAAAGGGACTAGGGTTGAGAGACTCCTAAATCAAGGTGTATTTAGAGAGAGAGAGAGAGAGAGAGAGAGAAGGAGTTGGGCTAGGGTTTTGAGTGGAAAGAGATGCAAAAAGTGATACAAAACCCTCTGTTGCGAACTAATATACGTAATCCTTGCTCGAGCGAAGGAGTTGTCGCTCGAGCGACCAAACACAATAAGTGACCTCGCTCGAGTGCAGAATACAAGGCTTCAGGTCTACCACAGACGCATACGCACGCTTGAGCTCAAGAATCCTCGCTCGAGCGAATGAACAAATACACAAAGCTCGCTCGAGCAGAAGAAACCTCGCTCAAGCGAAGAACTTCACCTTCCTTAGAAAACCTGCGTCTAGAAGGAAACCTGAGAACTCCTAATTCTCGCTCAAGCACAAGAAACCTCGCTCGAGCAAAGGAGCAAATTACAAAAAGCGCGCTCGAGCGCAAGAAGCCTCGCTCGGGCGAAGAGGCAAAAATCTTAGCAACAACAATCTAACCTAACTAAGAACCAACCTGTTCCAAATTCGCCCAACAAGTTCTAAAATTCAAATACAAAGAGTCAAAGGGGAATAACAAGACATGGATACAATATTCAACCACGGAACCCGAGTTCGGAACACCATGAAGGTCGGGGCAAAACTGGGATCGCTATATTATGAATCTTAACAAAGATATAAGTATGATATGTACATACAATGTCCATGGTAAAACTATTCATATTTATACATGATCATATTATGCCAAATTTGATGTCTCAATCCATTTCATCGTAATTCATTTCATGACAATTCATTTTCCACAATCCATGCGTCTAGTCCAATGTTATCTAGACAACCCAATTGAGACTACAACTCAGTGGTTTTCTAACCAATGCAACCATTACACAAATACTTCAATTTGTCATTTTACGAAAATTTCGTTCGAGGGAATCAGCACCCATGTATATACACGCAATTTTTGGGAGTTTCATCCTAGACACATAGGCCAACTTAATTCAATGGAGTCCATCCCCTTTCTTCTCCCAAACATGGAGTACATCCCATTTCTCCTCCCAAATATCATACATATATAATGTATTAAAACACAGTCATGTTCAATGACAACAAATAAAAATTAGTTTCAATTCACCTAATCTTCATGCAATTTATACAACAATCATAGCTATCATCCACCTATAGCCCAAAATAGATATTTCTAAACAGATATATAATCTCCAAAACAGATAAACTATCCACGTTTCCATAGATGAAAGATAGCAAGTGTCTAACTCCACCATTTACATAAACATCTATCTAGTTTCATATTTCCACTACTAATCTCATTATTTACACAAAATAATCATTTGAAACAATTCAGGGGTAAAGCCCCATTTTCTCCCAAATCCAATCTATGTGTCAAAATCAACAAATTTAACACAGCACATCCTTATATCTACATCTATAACCATTTTTAATACCTTCATTTGAAAACCCCTCTTTTGAATTTTAAACCAAAACCCTAGGTTTGTCTAAAATCCTCCAAATCCCAACATTGTTTATACAACAACAAATAACTAAGTTAAAAATCATAGGAGAGTGTAGAAAGTCTCTACCTCAAGCTTAGAAGACCAAGGAAGAAGTGGAGGAACCTCAAAGACGCCGAAACCAAGATCTATTTGGATTAAAATGTAGCCCTTGAGATGCTCTACCTTTTTCCCAAAGACACTAGGGTAGAGAAACCAATGGATCTAGGTGAAAATGTAGAGAGAATGTGAGTTTTAGAGAGAGAAGCTTAAGATCTAGGGTTTTGAAATGTTTTAGAGAGAGAAAGAGATGAAAAAGTGATGTAAAAAGTGGTTGTTACGAACTAATATACGTACAGTTTGCTCGAGCGTGAGAAGTATGCTCGAGCGTCAGACACAATAAGTCGCTCTGCTCGAGCGCAAGAAGTGACGCTTGAGTGCAGAATGCACACTCTCAGTAGTTTTGTAGACAACAAACCAACGCTCGAGCATAAGAAGGGCCGCTCGAGCGCAGAAAGAACCCCTCGAGCGTAGAATACACTCTCCCAGTAGTTTTGCAAACCAACAAAAGTACTGAGAGTTTACAAAGTGCGCTCGAGCGTAGGAGCAAAATCTGGGCAACAAAAGTTTGAAAATCAAGCAACCAACTTGTTCCAAACACGCTCGATACAACCCAATAGCCAAACTCAAGTAAAAATAAGGAGGAAAAGACATGAACAACAATATGAAACCATAAAACTCGAGTCCGGGATACAACAAGGGTCAGGTCAAAACCGGAATCGCTATAGTACAGGTAGCTTATTGAGTTAAAGTTTGATCGGATAGGAGAAGTTAAAGGGCGGATGGGTGAGAATAACTAAAAAAGGGATTGAATATGGCCAATCTGTAACACCATTAATGAAAGAAAAAGAAAATAAAAATAAAAATGTAGACTTGATAAAAATAATAGAATTACTTTATTCAAAACCATTATAATATATTTAATATTATTAATATTTAATTTTAAATTAATTTTTGTGTATTTATTAAAGACCGTGCATAGCACGGGTATCATGCTAGTTGTTTTATACACAAATTCAATATGCTTTATTTATTTAATATATTAGTTTATTATTTGTTTTAATATAAAATATTTACAAAATATTATAAACTAAAAATTAAAAATATTTTATAGTGTCAGGATCAAATTAAAAGAATGACTTTAGTGCTAGTCAAATGGTTGAAGGTGGTCAGTTGAAACTAACAGTGTTGGAAAATGAAGAGGTTAAGGGTACGAGTCTTATTTCAAAGGTGTTTTGAAGATACAATGTGGTACTTCACTTGTCTTTTCTATTTCATTCTCTAATTTGATTTATAATTTATAATTTAATTTATTGGATTTTACAAAATGAATAATGAGATAATTGGTAAATTGACAAATGTGTTTTAATAAATCATCCAACGAACTCTGATATAAGTAAACTAAAGTTACAAATTGCATGTGATGAAATGTATTTATATTTTGTCATAAATATAATTATGACAAACATGTCTATTTTTCTTTAATTATGACTTTTTTTTTTAATTTTCTTTTAAACAAAGTTTTTATTATTTTTAAAATTTTAAATTAATTTTGATTATTTATTTAAATTCGTGTATAGCACGAATATTATGCTAGTTAATATTTAACATATTTAACACACATTTTCATTTATGTTTTAATTAGCGTAAAACCCGTACTATACATGATTGTAACAATGATTCAAAATTTTATTTTGAAATTACTTAAAAATAATATTGAATAAAATTTTATAAAAATAAAATATTATTTTTTTAGCTGTATGAAATTAGACAATTTTTCAGTTTGTGAAATTATCTAGTAAAACTAATAAATTTTAAATTTCTTTTTTTTTAGTTTTAAAATTGAGAATATAATCAATTCTTTTTAGTTTTAAGATTGTGAACATTGCAATTTTTTAAGTTTTACAATTGAGAATTTTTTTAGTTTTGTACGGAAATGTTCCATCGTCATGCTTCGTTATAGATAGATTTTTTTTAATTTTTTCAATTTTGCATAAGGATAATTCTGAATATTAAAAATTAGTAAGAAATTTCATTGCGTCCGTTGTTGTACGTATATATGCATACATATAGGATTGTGTTACTCTCCATTACAAATCTAACAATTGTGAAATAACCAAATGAAAAATGCTATGAATCCCAAATAATTTATCAAATATTTTACCCAATCTCTCACATAGGTATAAGACTCACACAAATCCACATGTGTGTAAGTCTCACACCCATGTGAGAGGTTTGGTAAAATATTTAGTAGATTATTTGGGGTCCCCAGCATTACTCTAACCAAATTAATGATTGTATTAATTTTTTCTTAATTATATATATATCGATAGGCGCAATTCAAAGTAAAAACTAAAAAATAAATAAATTATTACATCCCGTATGCCATTCAAATGTTTTTTTTGAATATTCATTGCATAAGGTTTGTGGTTGAAGAATGTTGACTTATGTAGATCATTGTTTTCACGAAGGAAATGCCTGGTACAGGTTGTTTTCCCAGCCTTGGAGGAATTGCTTATTTCTAGGGTGCCTAACATAACTGAAATTTGGGGCAAGCAATTTCCCTCCGAACTGAAAGTCGCAAAGGTCAACTGTTTTGAGAAACTGATGGATGTTGTTCAATCCAATATGCTCCCAAGGCTACAGAATCTGAGAAAACTCTCGAAGAATGCAAAAGAGAAAGAAATGGCTCAAGAAAAGAAAAATGATGATGTCATCGTATTCCCTCGGCTAAGGATCGTGAGACTTGACAATTTACAGAACCTTGAAACTTTTTGGAGGACTAGAAGATCTGAAGCACAAACCTTGTTCAACCATCAGGTACTAATCTCCTGACGCTTTGAATAAAATAAAAAATAAAGCACGTGAGAAAAATTAATATTAGAATTCCAATCTAATTTAGTTTTTTGAGTTTGAATTTGAACTATATATATATATATATATATATGTATAAATGACGAAATCATTATGGAAATATGAAATTGGTTTGAAAATCATGAAATTGGAGGAAATTATGGTTAAAAAGTGTAGTTGGATTGATGAATCACTCACCTATGGAAAATGTGTATATTATCTGTTGAGAAATTTATTTATCTGTTTCGATATATCTGTTTTGGGCTATCGGTGGAAGATAGCCATGATTGCTGTAGAAACTGCATGTTGATTAGGTAAATTGAAACTAATCAATTGAAATATGTCATTGAATATGACGATCGGAACATGGCAACATTGTATATGTGATTGAGTTGGTTATTGTATATGGCAACATGTGTAAATACATTGTATATGTATATTGTTTGGGAGGAGATAGGGGATGGACTCCATGGATAATTAAGTTGGCCGGAGTGTCCAGGATGAAAGTCCCGAAATCTTATCTATATTTGGGTGCCAGTTCCCTCGAACGTAGTTCCGTAAAATGGCAAGTTATGGAAGTGTATGAATGATGCTTATGATTGAAATGTTGATGAATGAGTTGTAGTCTCATTTTGAATTGTTTATATGATAATGAATTATGTCAATGAATTGACTTGGGTAATAACTGGAAGTGAATTGAAATACGGGTACCAATGTTGTTTGGTTATGGAAAAGGTTTAAGATGATTTATAAGTGTTAAACATTTATCGAATGCTAATGTTTTAGTTAATTCTCATATAATGTTTAGTGTATCTCTACTGGGCTTTGGCTCACCCTACTTGGGACACCATTTTTCAGGTACATGTGATATGCCGCCTCCAAGGTCTTAACTTGGGAGGTTAGGGGTTGAAGACTCCTTTGTAGTTATTTTGCTTTGATGTTAATTGTATATTCAGGTCAATGGCTTTATATGTAAAAAGTTAGAACTCTTATTTTGTTGTAACCAAACTATTACTTGGAAAGATGTAAGCCCGTAGGGCATTCCTTTTGCTATTAGAAGTTAGCGTTATATGTAATATCTTTTGTAAAGAAGACTCTGATGAATGAAAATATAATACCTCTTCTGTGTTCATGGATTATATGAATGGTTGTCTTATACTGTATTTTGAGGGCGTTACAACTTGGTATCAGAGTGTACCGGGTTTGAATACTTTGGATACGTGGGAAGTGGTTAGTACCACAATGGGTTTGTCTTGCTTGTTAGAGACTTAAGTGAAATGTTATGTGCTTATATGATAACATGTATGTGTGACTATATGGGTATGGGATTTAGTTTCTAGGATGTTGATTGGGTCTATGGGTTTCTGGGAGTCCTGTTGGAAAGGCACTTGATCATTACCGTGTCTAACTGGAACTCTATCGATGCCATGAGACGGTCATTATCCAGAAATGAAATTCGTATGTGTTTATGTGATTATATGCTTATGTGGAGTGACTTACAGATGTCCATTGTATTAGGACGTGGGTGAATTAGCTTCGACATATTTGTAAATGTGTGTTTGTTGATTGACTTTGTACTCTCTTTTTTCCCCAGAATTATTATTGCTTTTGGTGATGAAGCACGGGTCGTTCCAGGACAATTCTTCAGTAACAATTTCATTATTTTTTTTGTTCCTACTTAGTTTTTGGGCATTTCTGTGACCATGTAGATTTATTTGTGTTTAATTTCTTCATTTAATTGGGTTGTTGATGAGGTTCTGTTTGTTAATTTCTTAGCTCATGTAAATATTATTATGCAATCCAAGAGTGACTTTCTCTGGCTACAGCATTCCTAATCCTGCAGATGCTCGAGTAAACATAAGAAGTTGTATACTTAAGAAATCTAAGGTATGAAAATGTATACTTAATTGAGTGTAGTTTAAGTGAGTTCTGTATATTATTTTTAAGTGAGTTCTGTATAAAAATGAGTTTAAGTGAGTTCTGTATGAAAATGTATATTTCTTAAAGATCTTTAAGAAATATTATTTTTCAATCATCTAAGAAGGGTCCTTTTTCGATTCAATTGCATTGGACTATTTTGAGGTTCAATATGTTCTCTGGCTAATTTGTTATTCTCCATGGCGAGTGTACAATCATAGTGGAATTGCATAGAATGAAGGCAATGTCTCCCTGGCTTCATTCTGTGTAGTTTGTGTGTTTGTATGTTTCATGTTGTAACATATAATTCAAATGAAGAGTGTTCGTCAGATTTTTAGATTGCATCTTACTTGAATATTTTGTGATTCCTACTTTTATTGTGTTGCAGTAAATGTTATTGGACAATGTTGACTTGGGAATAAATGTTTCAGGAGTGTCATTTAACAATTATGTAATGAACATTGCAGATTGCATGCCCCGAATTAAGGGTATTGTCCATTGGTTGGTTGCCAAACATAACAGATGTGTGGGACAAGAAATTACTCCCAACAGGGTCCTTTTGTCAACTAAGAGAGGTGAGGATCGAGGGATGTGACAAACTGGTGAATGTGATTCTATCCAATATGCTCCCACGATTGCGGAATTTAACAGAACTCTCTGTACAATACTGTCCAATGGTGGAAGAGATATTATCGGAGAAAGGGGAAGAAAAAACAGATGTAGAAGCCAAAGAAAATATCATCTTGTTCCCTCGACTAAAGACTCTAGAACTTGGATCTCTGGAGAATCTCGAAAGTTTTTGTACCTCCAGACTAGCAGCACAACACTTCTTCAAACACCGGGTATGAATGTCCTTACCCTTTTTAGTTGACCTTGGAAATAGGAAAACACATAATAAAATATGTGCACATAAACATATGCATTTATACAAATAAAAGTATGATTACCGTTTTCATTCAAATCCCTATATCCAACCCCACACCATATCCATCTTGCTCTTGCTCTTGCTCATAGTTATGCATCCTCTATAGATTTAGCAAACAAGTAGATTCAGCTATATTGTTTTAGGAATGTAAACTGCAATTTGCACAACTGAAGTGAACAATTTTTCTCCTCTGCAATTTATAATTTTTGGTGTTTTGGGGAGGAATTCGGCCAGTACGTACATTTATAAAATTTAGTGTTAAATCACAAATTTTACATGCTAGATGTGGAATGTGAGGTAGTATAAAGCAGTTGTAGTAAATGGTATGGACTATGGGAAGAGTGGGTTAAAGGACTTTCTTTGGTGAGAGAGTAGTTGGGGTTCTTTTTTCAGATTGTTGTGGTATAATTTGCAATTGTAGGTGATATGATGATTTGAATGGGTCGGTTTTTTTTCTTTTTTTTGCGCCTGCGCGTGCGCGCCCATAATTGATGTTTTTTTTGAGTTTGTGAAACTAAGCATTAACTGACACGTTATATTTGATAATTTGAACCTGTAATTACCTATCACAAACCCGTCCTTGTATCTGTTTGATTTATGAATAACAGCAAAATGAGAGCAACACAAGGCACCCAAAAAAAAAATAAAATTGGTCTTTCAGATAAGATGAAATGGTGGTCTAAACTCATAATATAAAAGTACCGTAGAACCAATCGTTATGTCAATTATGTATTATTATTATTATTTTCAGTATTGAAGTATCTAAAATATATATTTTTTTTAAGAAAATGAAAATTTCTAAATGAAATTCACCAAGGTAAAAAAAAAAAAAAATCAATTAGAGGGAGGGATGTGATTAGAATAGAGGTGGGGCCCATTTAATGTTGTGTTTGTTTGTAGATTTGGGGAAATGATTGAGATGGAGGAGGGGATAAGGTTGGGCATTGGAAGGGGGATTGGGATGGAGGAGGTGGATGTTGTATTAGAAAAATAGTCCGCCGGACTAGAATTTTTTTTTTTTATTTTAATTTTTACATGTTGGACATTTTTTTTTTTGAACATTAATGTTTAATTTTTTGTATTTTTTTCTGGAAATTTTTTTATTTTCTACATGTTGGGTATTTTTTTTGGAACATTAATGTTTAATGTTTTTGTTTGTTTTATTATTTTATATTTATTTTATATGAAAATAATTTAACAATCCCTACACTAACAACTATCATCAAAACAAATGCAATTTTACTTTATCTTCTTACTATCAATCCCCTCACTATGAATCTCCTCCATTCTACCTCTGAAAACAAACGGAGCCGTATAGTTATATTAGATGTTTACGTCGTTTTCAATTTTTGTTTTACTCTATTTGATAGACTCTTGATTTAGTCTTATGTGATGATGATTTTAAACTTTGGTTTTACTTTGGTTTTCAGATTATATTTTATTTCAAATTCAATTTCAGTAAAAGCTTAAACACTTACTATTTATTAATTCTTTTGTTTGTATTTTTGTGAATGGTTGGATTGGATATTGAAGTATTATACTATGGGTGCTGATTTCCAACCACACTACCAAACAGGGAACTCAGCTGGAGAGCACAGACAGGATAGATCACGCCCGAACGACCTGTCACAGAAAGATAAGACTTCGGCGGTGGTTCGTCCACCCGGTGCCACTCCGACGATCAAGTCAGTACTCAGTTATCTCTCAAAGATAGCAAACAGTGCTTAACTCACTAGCCAGAATACAAAAAGCATACCTTAGACCCACGAAGGTGCCTTACTTTTATAGCCAGAACTAACCTGATCCTTGTAGAAGCCTACCTTCAATGGATTCTGGCTCAATGCTCATCTTGGACTCCCAACCAGATAGAGATAAACTCCCTAAGAGCTTTATCTTTATCCAAACTGAGGTCTTCCCCCGTTCTAGGACTCTTGTCCCTTATCCACTCATCTCGGACTCCGGTATCTCCGTAGATAACCTCGGCTTAGCCGAGATCACCTCGGAAACATGCCCAAGACACATGGCACCTCGGCTGACACTCCGGTGCCACCTTGGCCACGTGTTATCATTCATAAAATATGTTCCCACAACTGCCCCTTAGGTTCTATTATCTTGGCATCCTGAGGTGATGGAACCTACATCGTTTGTCCACATAGCACGTCGGCTAAGACTTACTCCATCCTTCATGACCGAAATCATCACACGTTGACTTGACATGACCAAGACTTTGCAGTTTACTTTATCAATGACCATGAACCAAGAATCAAGCTCTTCAAGTTCCTTAACCATGACCATTCCTCTAGCCAAGGTTCTTGTTTCATTTAAATTGAGAACTCCAAGAGTTCTATCTGCACATGAGCTGTCATGCACGGTTTTCTCAACCGTTTTATCCACGCATCCTTTTCTCATTGATTTGTACCTGACACGCGCCATCAGGTCGCGTCGCTTCTGCGCACGCCGCCTAACAGACACGTCATCCAAGGCATATCATTTATGGTTTGCCGCATTTTTGCATTTTAACAAAACTTCTCCCTCTCTCTTTCTGTCTCTTCACTTTTGCAAAAACAATCTCTCTCTCTACTCAGAGCCTCTCTCTCTCGAACCTCCATTTTTGTACCTTCGAAGCTCTCTGCAATCACCCCGTTTACCTCCTCCAGTAGAGCATTTACCATCCTGCTTCTCTCATCGTCACCATCTGACTTCGGCGAAACTTAAACCGGTGAGTTCTTTATTTCTTTCGATTTTAGTTTCAGCCTTTCATTGCTCTATATATATTCCTTGTATGCCTATTCTGTTGTTGTTGAATTTATTCTTATGGTTGTACTCTGTTTCATCTTTGATCATGAATCAATTTCCCATTTCTAAGGATTTTTTGTGGTTCCTTGAGCTTCGTTACTACATTTACTTGTGATTCATACTGTTCAATCTATCTCTAGGTCTACATATGTACATACGAATTGTTCACTTGCATGATGTTTTAGCAATTTGTCACTGTTCTTTGGCTTTTACTCATCTACACATGCTCACAGTGTTCTTGAATTTCTGTTTGTTTTCTTGAGTCTGAATTATTGCTCTTTTCTGTTTTTCTTGCTTATTTTCAGATCTTTCCATTGGTTTCTTGTTTCCGTATAGATCTAGGCCTTGGGTTTTGATAGAAATCACTATCTCTAGGAAAGTTGAAACAAATTCCCCTAGATCTTGAAAAATCCTTGACCCAGTTTTTGTTTAGGGTTTAGCCGAGGTCCTTCAAACCCACACCAACCAATCTCTTTTGAAATCTTGCACCTTCTTCCTTTAGCCGACATCATAGGTATGTTCAGGTGGAGGGTAGATACCCCAGAAAATAGTGTATTTCTGTCGAGAGTTCTCCATCCCAGTCGATGTTCACCTTAGGCTGGCTGGGGAGGAGGACTCCATCATGCTTGATGGAGGTTCCATACCCTTCCCAGTAGTTGCTTTCATAGAGTGTGGACTTAGGTTCCCTCTAGACATCCTTTTCTGAGAAATCCTTCATTATTATAAGCTCAACCCGATGCAACTGGCCATTAATTCCTATAGGGTCATCAATGGGATAATTGCTCTAGCTAGCCGAGAAAACGCTAGGATGATACTAGCCAACATCCAATATTATTATACCATGTGTGGCCTGAAATCCGAAAAAGGCTACATCTATTACCTCAAGCCGAAATCCACAACCTATAAACTCATGGTCGACCTCCCAAACTCCAACAAAGGTGCTGGAGATGATTACTTCATCGTCTCGGGCAACTGTGAGTTCTCACCTGATGACGACCTCCATCTCTATCCTTTGAGCTGAATAGTGATTAAAGAGGGTGAGGGTAAGAACCAAGTGTCAACTTTTCTTCTTTAAGACTTATCATTTTATTCCCCTTATATGTTCTAACGTATGAATTTTGTTCTTGCAACTCTCCTTCAACCCTCAAAAGATTTTCGCTAGTCCTTCTTTCCCAGCAAGGACTTGAAAAGGTTGTTGGGCTTGGCAGTTGACCAGCGCAAAGCCCCTCTGCTGCTCAACTACATTCCGATTTACAAATCCACCTTGCCCAACATTCCCAAGAGGAGTAGGACTCCTTCATCTGCTTCAACTCCAACAGTCACCTCCTCACCAAGGCTAGACCAGGCCTTATCTTCTGATCCAGTTGAGGTTGCATCAACATCTGCCCCCCAACTTACCTTAACATCACAGCGCCGACGCCGACGCTGACGTAGAGTTCTACCAGACGTACTAGCAGGCAGAACTCGTAGCCGCAAACGTCAAGGTTCCAAGGCCTCGGCTTTCGATCCTGCAAACCCACCTACTGTACTCCTAGTAATCCATTTCGGTACCAAAGTAACAGTTGCTTCCACAGCCGACGAAATGGGTCGCAAACCGGCAGTTGTTGAAGACCTTCTAGCCAGCATCCCAAGGGTTGTGATGGTGTAATCCTCGCCTTCTCCATCCCAACCAAATCAAAGGCTGAAAAGGGTGAAGAAGGCCAAGGCTAAGGCCACAGTGACTCAGATCGATTCTGAGGACACTGTGCCAATTTCCAAACTGGCCAAGGCCGAAAAGAGCACCCCTTCTGCCGAAAAAAGGCTAGCCAAGGCCCCATCATCCGATGCCCCACCAGCCAAAAGGCTGAGATTTGACCACCCCGAAGGCAGCAACTATCCCTGCACCATGACCTGGGCACCCGAGGTTTTGGTGGACGACAGACCCTTAACAGCCGGTAACAGTGCAGTGAATCTTAAAGTAGGCGTAGCCCTGTCAACGGTTGTTCTTTTACCCGAAGACATGAACCGCATGGTTTAGTTGCATGAATATGAGAACTTCGCTATAATGATGCAACACTCGGTCTTGGTAATCCTCTTTTACTTACTCTTTTACAGTTTGTCTATACTTAGTAAAATCTCACT